TCATGTTACTAACATGAAAGTAAAAAGATTCTATACTTGGATCATAATCTTAAGTTTCTGCTAATACTTTGGTTGGGGCCTAGATGCTGAGTGAGGCCTTCTTTAGCTAATCTGCTTAGATGATCTTATATTTTTTGCTTTCATTTGGATTTGTTGGTCAAGGTAGAATATCAGTACTTTTATTGCGGCGGGGTTCCTCAATTACTTGATTTCATGAATATAGACTGACCTAGACAGATTACAAAGTTGTGCAAGATGATGTCAAGGGGTGAGAGGTTGCTCACTGATAGAATGCTCAGATGTGAAGCTTTGGTTCCAGTCCTTAGCATCCTTCCTCCCCCTCAACTGCTGTCATTGATTTTGTGCCAGACACCACTGTTTAGGGTTGGCAGATAATGTCTTTTAAGCCTTTTAATCCTGAGGCTCAGAGGTTGTTTTGTTTGGGTTTATTTAGAGAAATGAATGGTGGAACTAAAATGGATTTTAGCTCTGCCTTCTAACATTGTGATAGGGTTTTTATATATATCAATTCATTTAATCCTTATAGATAGCAATGTGTGGTTCAGCAGGCATTCTTACTTATTGACAGGAAAGAGCACTATTAGCTGTGGAGACATGAAGTCTTACCTAAGTAAGACAGTTGTTTTTCAGGTCCCTATTGCAAATGGCGCTAGATATGTGTTCACATTGTTCATTCATAGTCTCTAGGGAGATAATTTGGGTTTTGTCAGGAGACACAATAATTGAAATGGTGTTTGAAGTTTGCTAATGAGGAACAGGTAAAGATGAGCCACTGAAAGACTTACCTTTTCTTAAAAAGTATGCCTTAATAATTTAAAAGAAATGAAAGCTTCTGTATAAAATCTATAATACTCATGACAGAAGTGTTCTTTCATTCTTTATTTGGCACCTATTTGTAGAACAGGTATTACATGACAGACCTTGAACCAGATGCTGGCAATAAAGATGGGACACTCAGTCCCCTGGTAAGTGCTGTGATAGCAGTAGCATGTGGTGCTGTGCAGAACCAGCCCTGCTTTCTCAGGCAGACTGGGAGCCTTGTGGAATTCTGAGGCTGCTCTTGGGAAGAGATAGTGAGTCTGAGCTAGGTATTAGAAGTAAGTAAGAGTTTGCCTCTTAGAGAAGGTACAAGGACAGGGAATTGTGAATGTCAAGTAATTCATAGAATTAGAGCCATATATGTGCTAGATTGGATAGAATTGCGTTTTAGGTAATGAGAAACCTGGACTTTCAGGCTGAAGAATGACACACGATCAGTATGACTATGGGGTGGGGAGGGTATAGGTAAACATTAATAAGGACATTTTGGGGGAGTAATGAGATAGCTAGGCGGTGGGAAAGGAGAGAGTGGCTTTTTGAGATCATGAGCGTGGGAAGTCCAGGTTGGCTGTCCATGCCTGAGCACCCTGCCGGGGACAGTGTTGCTGTTAACAGACTGATGGGGAAGCAGTTTTGGAGGGCTCTGCTCAAGGTTAGTGGGGAGGTTTGTGGTGGGTCCCGGGCTTTGAAGTGGAGATGTCATCTGGCAAATTGGAGTACTCAAAAGGCGTGGAAAGCATCTGCATACTACCAGACTAAGTAGAAGAAGGCAAACCCATCTCAAAACCCATAGAGAAATAGGAAAGGAGTATTGTCCTGGAACATGGAGATGTTTCAGGGGTGAGAGATGGTTGAAAGGTATAAAAAGAATTTATTGTCTGTGTGCCTGGGAGATGACTGTTGCCTGTGGAGAGCCTTGGCAGGCAGTGGAGCTAAGCACTGGCCACAGCTGAGGAGAAATGAGTGGAAAGAGATCATGAATTTAGACCATTTGGTCAGGAATGTCACCCTGAAGGGAAGGGAACCTACCCTGAGGTAGTCTTACTGTGTAGTCTAGGCTGGATTTGCATTTGTTCTGTAGCCCGGGCTGTCCTTTGACTTGTGATCCTCCGGCCTCACTTTGCAAGTGCTGGGGTTATAGATTTTCATCATCTAGCTGGGCTCCTTCAGGAGTCTTTGTGAGTTACATTTATTGTAATTGCTCAGGAGTTCATTAATTTTCCTGTGGAATATTTTAGATCACATCCGTTGTCTCTTTGAAGTAGGATGCTATTTTGGATGGAAATGAAAATGATCCATGAGTGTTGGAGCAAATGCACATTGAATATACTACTCAATTCTATTTATTATACAGTAAGATTATTTAGTTTTGAAACAAGGTCTTTATGTATGCATATTTATAATGTTTACTTTAAACTCAAATTATTTTCCCTCTAAAAGCCAGGACTGTGGCTAGATAATAAAGGCCATGTAGTTTGTGAGTTCAGTGTGGAGTATCCCAGAAACTGATTTATTCGATAGTTACTGAATAAAAGCACTAGTGTTGAACAGTGTTCAGCTGCCACCAGACAGCTGTTTAGAAGAGCCTTGTAGTATATTAAAATGTGAACAGAGGGCTCAGACAGCTGGGCCTGTTGGCCTGGCTGTGTAGTGAGTCCATTTTGAGGGAGTGAAATAACAGTTTTGTATAGAATGATTTCTGTTGTGTTCTCTCTGCATATGAAACATTTCGTAGTGGTTCCCTTCCATGCCTTGAAAATTTCCTAAGTAGGAATGGCCCTGAAGTGAAGTTAGTAGTAGGTGCTAAGTTAAAACGAAGCCTGCACAGGCAAGGGCAATGCTTTATGAGCATTCTTTTTCCTTCATCTGCCTCTGTAGAATCATTTCCATCTAAAGAATTACAATGTATGTATTAGTAAAAAATCCTCAATTGTATGAAAAGTAGACCCTCAATAATTATACAGATTGAAGATTCTTTTCCAATTGTCTAATGTCTACTTTTCATGAAGATTTATAATAGCTTCTCAGAAATACTAACAACTGGCGTTAAGCAGACCAAGCAGATTTTGTTATAGAATATTATGAATGGATTTGAAACTGAGTGATTTGAGAATGGTCTGTTTTCTTTTTATTTATGCTGTTTTAAAAGTCTTTCACATACTAAGGTAATCATTAAAAAAACCCAGGTGATTCTAGTTCTGGTTTTTATTTTTAGAAAAGTGAATACTTCTTGACCAGTTTATTTATTTAGTTTTTAACTGTATAGTTTTTAAAAATCTGTATTTTAGCTCTATCAGCATTATATCTTGAATGAATTTTTCTGTAAGAACACATCTCTGACAGCTTTTTATTTATTTATTAAGCACTTAATAAGTGCAGACTCTTGACCTTGTTCACACTGGTGCGTATGTAGTATAATAAAAATCTTTGTCAAACTTTATAGTTAATATCTAGAAATTATACTTTTTCTAAGTATTCTACCGATTATGAAACCTTCTATAATTTAGATCTTTACTTAATTTAACTGTTTGCACATGAATTTTGGTATATGAAAAATCAAAGAATAAAGACAAAAGTACTTGAAGAAATACTACAGAACTGAAAAAGAAGAAAACCAATTGGTTTATATAGGTCCTGTGCTAAGAGTGGCCCTAGCTACTTTTAATGAGTATTTTAGAGAGTGTTTAGAGTGTTTTTTTTTTAGGTTTGTGCTACTGAACAAACTAGAAATTTCATTTAGCTGAACATTTATGTTAGGTGTGATACAAACTAAGGAAATGTTAATGGAAAGGTAGTAGCTTGCCAACATCTAACTAATTGAAATAATTTTATAATCAGCTTTTAATGTATTAGTCCCTATAAATTCAGCTATCAATTTATTTTGTACCAATTCTTAGCTTCCTGTCTTTTTTTGAGCTCATGATTATGATATGCTTACCGATTAATTTTTAAGTAGCTATTATCTATACTTAATTGGTCTTGAATGATTTTCTGCATTTCTACTGTACTTCCATAAGAGCTCCATTGAGTGTTTGTAGCTTTTTGAAACTGGGTACATTTTCTGATCGCTATTTTCTCACTTGTGCGGCTGCTTACCACGAAGGAAGGCTCCTTGCTTTCTCGGTCGGTCCCCCAAGTTCCAGCATGGCTGATTGTTGAGAAACACTGACTTGTTCTTTTTTTGTTTCTTGATTTAGTTAAGTAAATCCACAAATAGCCACACAGTACCACTTTGAGTGGCACCACATTATGATCTGAGATTTAAACACTACATGGCTCAGTAGAGCTTGTTTTGTTGATGCTGGGATCACACCCAGGCCTTTGAAGGTAGACAAGTGCTCTATCACTGAACTGTGTCCTCTACCCAGATAATTAATTTTGGGTCAGTAGCTTTTGTGAGTATTGTGTAATGGTCTACCTAATAGTAATTTTATGTTAAATTGTATGTTATGGCATGTCCCATTAACTTGTGGGTTGAAATAGTGGTTCCTCAGAACGCTTGATTTCATTTTGAAGAGACTGAACACTTGAATAAGCCATTTTAGCTGTAAATTGTGACTGTATGGGATTCCTTTTTTGTATGTGTGTACAGTTTCCCTCCTCTCTCTCTCTCTTTCTCTCTCTCTCTTTCACACACACACACACACACACACACACACACACATACACACGTTTTCTGTTAAAGCCTGCCATGTTGTGGTCCTTAAAAAGACAGGCTTTAGGGGGAAATGTTTGCTAAGATACTGTATTTATAGTTGTTATGATGCCAAAATGAATGGTAACAAATTTTTAAACTATATTTTCTTAACATTTGATTAATTTCTCCAATGTGTTTTAATATTACAGAATTACTTTAAAGTTGCTGTTAAAGATTCCTTTTAGTCCATCCTCAAATGCCAGTACTCAAAATATTCTTTTGCAGAAATAACTTATACTGGACTTCTTTGTTCCCAAATTGTTAGTAATCATGTGACAGTGAAAGAGAATATTGTTGTTGACCAAAAACTCGAGGTCTAATGCTTCCAAATTGTGGCTGTGTTTTTAGTAGGTTTGGACAACCTTTATTTAAGCTGCTGCTTTTCTCTCTTGGATAGGGAAGGAGAAGGCCTGAAGTCAGAGGTATAATTAGATGTCTGTGCCCTTTTTCAATTGTATTACAGTTATGCTAAGAAAGAATCTGATCTTAATGGAGCCCAGATCAAACTTCGAGAATATGAAGCAGCACTGAACTCTAAAGATGCAGCTCTGGCTACTGCACTTGGTGACAAGAAAAGTTTAGAAGGAGATCTGGAGGATTTGAAGGGTCAGATTGCCCAGGTAAGGCGCTGCTGCTACTTTGCTATATTGAACAGGTTAATTGCCATCTGTCTTAAGCTTTGGTTCACTTGATTAAATTTTTTGAAGGGAGGAGGGGGATTCTTACTTAAGCCTGTTTTTGCTTGCCTGAAGAAGTCTTGAGGTATCTTACCATCCAAAGTATGATCACCTTCTCAGTCATGCTATTTAGATTATGTTCTCTTTCTCTCTTGTGCAAGTACTTACTCTGTTACTCTGTCTCTTACTCTCAAAGTCTTAGTTTGTTACCATACCAAAACATGAGGTGGAAAAAGAGATTTCATAATGCTGTTCCAGTGAACACAGAAGAAATGAAAGTGGTCAGCTAAAAACCATTGATTTGCAAAACATCAGTCTCTTCGATTTCCCCCATTGGCAGTTATCAACTTGATAGGTGATCTGTTAATGCTATCCTGTGCATGAGACCAATAAATGAATGCAGTTCAGTGATAAAGGTTCACATGAGGAGTCATACATTGATAAATACATAGGAACTATGCCACATGCCTGATTGCCACATGAATTCTGTATAAATTTTATCACAATTCTTTTTCCTTCTAATAGTTGGAAGCCTCCTTAGCTGCTGCCAAAAAACAGTTAGCAGATGAAACTTTGCTTAAAGTAGATCTGGAGAATCGTTGTCAAAGCCTTACTGAGGACTTGGAGTTTCGTAAAAGCATGTACGAAGAGGTAATTATATATAATTTTACTTTTAAAAGGAAAAGATATACATAGAAGTATAAACAACAAATATATTTTATTTATGATTCCCTTTAGTGTATCAGATAAAGATGGTAAGATTTGAGATTAGGAGAGTGTTTGCAAGTCATCTGTACAAGGCACATCTGTAAATCTAATATAGCAAAATGGAAGTTTGTGTTAGTTACCTATTGCTGCCTAATGAGTTAACCTAGAGCTGTAGTGGCAAACCTTTTTTGTATCCAAACTGCACGCCAAAATCTACTTAATTTATCACAAAGTGCAAACACTACTGTTAAACCTGAATACTGAGGTTTTGTTTTAAAACAGTTCATGCTTTAACATCTTTTTGTCTTAAAGAAAGAAAAGTAAACACCTGTAGCATAGATTCACTGTCACCAACCTAGAGCCACAGACCTGGTTGATTGATTGATTGATTTTTCTGGGCCTTTGCATTGAGCTGTATCCCTTGGCCTTTTTAAAATTTTTATTAAAACAGTCTTGCTAAGTCACTAAGTTGCACAGGATGGACTTGGATTTGCCTCAGCCTCTTAGAATGCTGGGATTCCAGATGTATGCTCATTCAGCTCAGCATTTTATTTCTGAAGGCCAGGAAGCTGAGAGCTGCTCAAAATTTCTTATTTAAAACAAAATACTGTTACAGCTATTTTTCTTCCAAGGAAAGTAAAGGCTGTGTTTGATAACCCACAGCGAACAATGTTACGTAATAGTTAACGAACTTTATGAAAGTAGACTTACTTTGTGTTTTTGGAGACAAGAGTCTTGCTATGCATATTCTAGGCTGGCCTAACATCACATTGTAGCCCTGGCTGGCCTTAAACTCCCAGCAATCCTTGCACCTCAGTCTTCCCGCTGCTGGGATTACAGATGCGCACCACCATACCCAGCTTATTTTGAGAAAAGGTTGCTATGTACTCCAGGCCTTAAACATCTTTTGTAGCTCAGGTAGGTGTTGAATTCTCAATCATTTTAGCTCAGCTTTTTCAGTGCTGGGATTAAACGGATGAGCCACTACAGTGGCAAAATATCCATTTTACATGTAGTTGATTTACATTTTTGTTTTGGTTTGTCTTTAGTCTGTTATTATTAATGTGTGTGTAGACAACCAGGAGTATTTTTTTTGTAAAGTCATTGTTTCTATATAAAATAATTTTAAAAATATCAGTGGAAAGTATTGGGGGGGGCGGGCCTTACTCTTGCCAGGCAGGCACTTACACCACTGAGCTAAATCCCCGGCCTTGGAAGGTAGTATTTTTAGAGTAGATAGCATTTCTGACCTTCTTGCCTTTTTGAGAATGATTTTAAAATGCTCTTTGTAATTATTTTTTCCCTGAACGAGGACGCTGTTCAGTGAACCTGTCTATTGTGAACAGTTCCTTATTGTGAGCAGTTAAGAATGAATGAAGAGTAAGGAGGTAGGAAAGGGTGCGCTGTGACAGTAAGAGCCAGTGTTGTTGGATTGAAGTTTCCATTTGTGTGTTTTCCTGATTTAAGTCATTTGCTTCATTAAACAGAATGAGCTCTGGGAAAGCAATAGCAGAGCCAGGCTTTGAACCATGGCCTTCTGATTCATTTGATTCTGTCAAGTGCGTTTTCCTCTAATGAGTAAGAGAAAGATGAGGATATGTATAAAAACCCACATGCACAGAGATCCCCAAAAACATCAGTGAGTTAGATATCCTTCGCATGACTTTATTGCCATTGAAAATACCCATTTTTTTCCCCTTTTTGTCTTCCTGAGACAGGGTTTCATTATGTAGTTCAGGCTGTCCTTAAACTCACTTTGTAGCCCAGGCTGGTCTCAAACTCACAGAGATCCCTCTTGGCTTAACCTCCTGAGCACTAGGATTGCAGGTGTGTGCGCCCACACCTGGCTTATTTATTGCTTTTTTTTTTTTTCCACAGCAAAAAGGTAAAGTGAAAATGTTATTCTTGGACTTGTGTTCTTAGCCACAGATTTCACATTTTAGTTTTATTTGGACAGTTTCCTAAATTAATAAAGTATGATTTCTATTTTATTTTTTAATAGTGGATTATCATATTTAATTGAGTTAATCAGGTAATACCATAGACATTGATAGCTTAACAGCAGGGGTAAGAGAAACATGTAAGTCCTTTGCTCTGCCCATTATGGTGTCTAAGAAAATCTTATAAAAAACTAAACGTGGTGGTACACACTTGTAATCCCAACACTTGGGTGGTTGAGGCCAGAGATTTGCCATGAATTTAAGGCCAGCTTGGGCAACATAGTGAGTTCAGCTGAATTACACTATTAATATCCCATCTCAAGTCAAAAACAAAACAAAGAAAATTTTGAAGTTGTCTGCAAAGTTTGACTCCCTATGCATATATTTTCTAGAGGTATTCTTAGGCTTATCAACAAACAGGATAGACAATAGCTGTTGAGTGTTTACTGTAGTCCCTGTCTAGTTATTTATGATGACATGGCACTTTAGTAAATCATCGAGGCCATTCCTTGCCTTCAGGGAAACAAAGTAGATATTTTCTTGGGGGAAAAAAACTACATTTTAATGGTTCTGAGATGGAATCATTTGTGTCATTAATTCCATTTCAGAAATACTCTCACCTGAAAACTTAGGCAGTGAAGTGTATTCACACTGTCTGGGACAGGCAAAAGTGTGTAAAATCTCACAAAGCCCTGATATTACTCAGACTTGTACCAGTGCAACCAGGAAAAGTAACTTGTTCGGATTTATGTCATTTTTCTCCCCGCAGGAGATTAATGAGACCAGAAGGAAGCATGAAACGCGTTTGGTAGAAGTGGATTCTGGGCGTCAGATTGAGTACGAGTACAAGCTGGCTCAGGCCCTCCACGAGATGAGAGAGCAGCACGATGCCCAAGTGAGGCTGTACAAGGAAGAGCTCGAGCAGACTTACCACGCTAAGGTGCGTGCTGTCTTCAGAACTTTGCCTTCCCTCCGATGAATACCAAGGGATGTTTTGTTCTAGTTTTGTTAAATGATGCTCTTGGTCTGTCTCTGAATATAGAAAATGGATAATTTTCTAAAATGCAGTTTTCTATAAAGATTACCAGAAATCATAAGAGGAAAATAGGGTTATTCCACTTTCATTCTTATTAGAGGTAATGGTTTATCTTTTTATCTCATATAGTTAAGACCAAAGCATCTGAAATAGTTTTTTTCCAACAAGTACTGATCATGATGTCCGCCACATTTATGGAGTATTTTATTGTTTTAAGTTCTGACTTCCATGTTATCATGGTATGTAGATTGTGACCACTACACTTGTGTATTTTTGTGTAAGAGCCAAATGGGAAGTCCCTAATTAGTTCTTCTTCTGTCACTGTTACTCATTTAAAAAGTATGGAAACATGACACTTGTGTTACAATACTATACAAAAGTCTAGGCTTTGCTGGTGAGGTTAACCTCCTGTTAATATTACATGATTTAATTAGAAAATTACTAGTGGGAGACAGAAAATTAGGGTCATGTAGTTAGTGAATATAATTTCTATTGCATGACTTCAAGCTGTTTCTGTTGAGCTTCAGCCGTTTCATGAGCTAGTTACTGGCTAGTGAGAGTAAAAGAGCCTGTCAAGAACACTTCCACTTGCCTGTCCCTGAACACTGCACTCTGAGCCGGATGGCGAAGGAGCTAACGTTGGGACTGGTCACAGGCTATGGCTTGGGAGGCAGAGAGGAGACAAAAATGAGTGTCCAACACGGGTACACAACAGAATGTGTGTGGGTGTTTGGAGGAATAGGGGATTGTTTTTATTTGAGGTGATATTTTTGCTTCTGAAAGAATTTTTGTCTTATTTGAAGGAATCCATTCTGTACTAGACTACACCGTTTAGGGATATGTGTAATGTTTATCTACAGTATCACCACTGTCCAGTTGCTATAGCTCATTTTCCTTAGAAGAGTATTCTTGGCATTACAGATTTAGCAGTTGAAATATTGAAGTGATAAGCTTTGGGTAAAATCCAAGTTATGTTAACATTGTTAAAGTTCATATTTTAGAAAATAAATCTAAAGCTGGGCGTGGTGGCTCCTGCCTGTAATCCCAGCACTTGGGAGGCTGAGACAGGAGAATCGTTGCGAGTTCGAGACCAGCCTGGGCTACAAAGTGAGCTCAAGGCCAGCCTGAACTGCATAGCGAGACCTTGTCTCAAAAAGACCAAAAAAAAAAAAAAAGAAAGAAAAAAAAAATCTAAAAATGTGGTGACAAGGTAACTCAAACGTCATCAGACTTCATGATGCTTTTCCTGTGTTTCATCAGCCAGTTACCAGCAGGACTTAAGGTTTTGAAATGACTTGAGGTGAATCATGCTTCCTCATTGGTTCTAATTTATGAGATAAGACTGTTTGCTGTTTGTTTTAGCTTGAGAATGCCAGACTGTCCTCAGAGATGAATACTTCTACTGTCAACAGTGCTAGAGAAGAACTGATGGAAAGTCGTATGAGAATCGAGAGCCTCTCATCTCAGCTTTCTAATCTACAGAAAGAGGTAAGAAAGCAACTTGCCACAAGCAGAATTGGGTTAACCAGAAGGTCACCAGCTGTCTGTCACTCCTGCATTTGTCATGGGTGATACTATTTTGCACTCTGGTTTTTACAGTGCTTTCCCAGATTTTTTTCATTTTGCATTGCATAAATATCCTCTGAGCAGATGCTGCTACTTCTGCTGATTGGCGCTCTGGGATGAATGAGGTAGTTTGTTTACCGGTCCTATCCTGGGACTCAGGTTTTCTGTGGCATCCGTCAGCTTCATCTCTGCAGAGTGCGCTTTCTGTGATACATCTTTTTCTTGAGTCTAGAAAGCAGCATGAAGGAATATATGCAAAAATCCATGGTGGGAGATAAATGCTTTGTATTTCTATATAAATTCCCTTTGTGCTTTTAATAATTGGATTCTTGTGATATAGCATTAATTTCTGTGCTCATTGGGAATTTAGGAACTTCATTGGTGCACCTAAATGGCAGGATATTGCATTGCTGATGGTGTTGACTGGTAGCCTGCCAGTGCATGGTGATGTCCTCCAGATCCAGCTGAAACAGGTGGACATAGCTTCCAGTCTGTCAGTCTAGAGCAGTGATGGCGAAGCTTTTAAAGACTAGTGTCTGAACTGCCATCCAAAACCCAATCACTCACCACAAAATGTCAACCCTGCAGTTAAACATTAAGGTTTTAGTTGAGGGAAAGCAACTCACACATTAACATCTCTTGTCTTAAAAACATGTAACATGTGTGCCATAGGCTCACCAGCCCCGGAACAGGTAAGATCAGTATGGGTACAAAGTGCATAGAACCATGTAAGTATTCAGCATTATTTTATGATTTGCTGCTCAGTTTAATTACTTGGGAAGTGAGTGCGAAGTAGAACTTCATCTTTTCTTTTCCTTAAAGGTGAAAATCTTATATTTTCTACATAAGAATAAACCTTGTTAATTTAGTTTTAATTAGACTTCCTTTTCATCATTTTACTTTTAGTATCTTTTTTGTAATTAAAAAATGGATGGCATTTGTACAAATTTAGAAAACAGCAGAAAATGGATCATAAAATAGGCTGATATAAAACATCAGTTAACTGAAAGCTTTATATTACCTATCACGAATAATAAATTGGAATGTGAAACTTTAAAAATTATAAAAATTTACAACTACTTTATCCTGATAATATTTTGTTTTTAGCAAACAGTCAAGCTGGAAGCTTAGTCACTTGCCCAGAGGTCACAGATTAATAAATGAGTTTCTTTTTCTTGTTCTTGATTTTCCCTTTGTATCTTTTTTCTTTTTCTTTCTTTTCTTTTTTGGTCTTTTTGAGAGAGGATCTCAGTTCAGGCTGGCCTTGAGTTCACTTTATAACCCAAGCTGGTCTCGAACTCATCATGATCCTTTCTCAGTCTCCTGAGTGTGCTGGGATTACAGGTGTGCACTACCACACCCAGCTGTGTTACTTTATTTTCTTCAAAATTTTCTTTTAGGAATTTAACTGGTATTTTGTTTTCTATTGGACCATCTGTCTTAGTCCATTTGGGGCTGCTTTTAGTACTACAGACTTGTTACCATGATAGCAGAAATGTGTTTCTTATAGTTCAGGAGGTTGTGGAGTCCAAAGCCGGTGCACTGCCAGAGTGGCAATCTGATGCAGGTGTTTCTACAACTCGTAAGCCCCTTAAGGCCTTCTGAATGAGCGTGCTAATCCCAGTCCCGGGGCTTTGTCCTCCTGGGATGAAGCCAGAATGCCAACGCCACATCTCTTATTACCATCATGATGGAAGTTGGAAATTAGGGTTCAACATGTGAATTTTGGAGTGTCATGTTTATTTAGTAGCACTATTTTGATAGGTGCTTTCTAGAAACAGGCTTTTCTGCTGAGTTGACACTAATTGCTTTTCTCCATTTGATAAATCATAATATAATTACTACCTCTGCTTTACTTGTAGTTGCACCTATCTCTTTTATTTGTTTCGCTGTGTCTTAATTGATTTAATCACACTTGATTGAGATTGGTCTTCATTTTATAGACTTGTCTATGGTTAAATAGAGTTAGGTGCTCTGACATAGGCTCCGGGCTTTTTCCTTATTTGGTTGTTAGTTAAAGTCCCATCCTCACTGGTTTTCTTATCCTCATATAGTGGGTTTTGAACAATGTTAGGCTTATTCCTGAGTGTTTTTAGGAGTCAGCTTCTTAACAAAAAGGAGAGAGAAGAATTTCCTTTGGCCAAAATAGCTTTTTAAAAATTTCCTTTTTAAAAAATTCATTACTGGTTGCAGATTTTATGATAAAGAATATACTTTTATAAATATTTTTATTAGTGAGTTTTAGCCTTAGGAAGGTCATCAGAAAGAGGAAAGTGATCTTTGTATCTGGTCCCTATCGGGTCATAGACAGTACTTCCTGTTGAGTCATGCAAGTTTCCTCATGCTCCCTGTTGGCCATGAGTTTCCTTTTTATATAAGACTCATGTTAGTGAAGACTTCTTCAATTTTGCTTCAGATTGACATTTGACTTTTGAAGACATGTTTAAAATTTTAAATGATAGGGGATTTAGCTCAGCAGCATAAGTACCTGCCTGGCAAGCTCGAGGTCATGAGTTCAATCCCCAGTACCAAAAAAACCAAAAAAATTTAAATGATAGTAATATTATGTTTTAGAGTTAGGAATTACAGACATTGCTTACTGCATTCCTGGATCCACCCCTCCGCTTTGGCCAAATTAATTAATTGGTTGGTCAGAGGCTGCTTGCCTTGAGGAAGAGTTTACAGTTACACTTTAGAAGCACCTCTGAGGCAGGAAGATACCTCATCCTTGAGGCCAGCAGGCCTCATACTTGAGCCAGAGCAATTTAGCAAGACCTTGTTTCAAAATAAGAACAGGTTGATGCTGTAACTGCCTAGTGTATAAAAAGTCTTCACTTTGGGTACTACTGCTCAAACATGAATCTGATTTTTTGTTTTTCTAGTACCCAGACTCTGGCAACTGTAATTGCAGCTAGACTACAATAAACTAGAACAATTATGTTACAAATTATTAAAAAAAAATTCAGTACTACTAGTACTTAATAATAGAAGCAGCATCTTAGAGATAATGTAGTTTGATTTTAGTTTAGATTAGTTTAGGTCTAATGTTTGTTTTGTTTTGATCTTTTTGAGACAGGATCTTGCTATGCAATTCAGGGCAGGCTTGAGCTCACTTTGTAGCCCAGGTTGGTGTCGAACTTGCAACAGCCCTCCTGCCTCAGCCTCCCAAATACTGGGATTACAAACATGTGCCATCACGCCCAGTCTTTTAGTTATTTTTTGAGACAAAGTCTTGCTATATACTTCAGGCTGGCCTCAAACTCACTTTGTAGCCCAAGCTTGTCTCAAACTCACAGGGATCCTCCTACCTCAGCTTCCCAAGTGCTGGGATTACAGATATGCATCACCATGCCCAGCCCTGCAGATGTCTTCATTTTATAAATGCTTCTGAAGTTGATTACAGTTTGCCAAGTCTCATAGGTAATAATGGCAGATTTGGAGAGGGTTAGGTCTGACTTCTCATAATCTGTTCCTTGTATGTCACTGTACAACAAACATAAATCCAACAATTTAAAGTATTTCTGTGTAAGAGAATGATCAGAGTAATTTTAAAATTTTTTTATCCTTTGGTTTTGATTTTTAACGTTAAAAGATTTCAGCTGCCTCAAAGGCAGTCAAATACAGAGATGTTCTGTGTCTGGAAGCCTGGGCTTAGAGGTTACATGGGTCTGGAATAGTTCACCTTACCAGCTTTCTCTCGGGGCCCTTTTTGTCTTCCACATCTGAAACAATGAAAAGATTAAAGAGAAGGCGTCTTGAAGTTAGTTGATCAGAAAAAAAAACATAGGCGAGGACTAGATTGCTGTATTTGTAGTGCAGTTTTTGCAAGGGCAGCTAAAACGCAGCTCTCTGAGGCACAGGAGTGTTTATAGTATCTGAAGAGGAATGCTGGTTTCTGATACAGAATGTCAGGTGCTCCTCAGGAATTCAGTTGGTCAGTATTTTTAAGAAATCTTTATTTTAGCCGAAGTTTAGATTTACAGAAAAGTTGGAATAATAGTTCAGATAACTGTATCCTTTATTGTATTTCCCTCATTGTTAACATCTGATGTTACCAAGGGATATTTAAGAAACTTACAGAAATATGTTACTGTAAACTAGACTCCAGACTCTTCGGGTTTGACCAGTTTTTCTGTCACCCTTATTTTGTTCCAGGGTGCCACGTGCTTCCTTAGGGTCCCTTGGTCTGTCACAGCTTCTCAAGTTTCTTTGATTTTCATGACCTTGCTTCTTGAGGACTGGCCAGGTGTCCCATAGACTCTTCACACATCTGGGTTTGTCTAGTGATTTTTACATGACTACTCTGGGTTGGGGGTCGTAAGTTAACATATCAAGGACTACACAATGATTTCTGGTAATGTGTGGTTACAGTAGTATTCACCAGAGCTCTCCATTATCAGTAGAGTTAGCATTTTTCCTGTTTCATACTTTTTCTTGGAAAACAAGTCACTAAATCCAACCTATCCTCAAGAGTGAATGGCGAGATTTAAAATCCATGTGGTGTGGGGAGATCTTTATTTTACTTTTTGGTACCAGGGATTGAACTCACCCGGTAGGTGTTTATGCCACTGAGCTAAATCCCTGGCATATTTAGTGGAATTTTTCTATAAAATTTACCCATATAGTTTGGGTTATAACCCAGTGCTACATTATTTTATTGACTCGGGTCATCCTTTTTTGGAATATTGCCAAGTTTACTACTGCGTACCTTGCTTGTTGAGTACTTCCTTACTGTCTGGCACTGTAGGGTGCTCCAGGCTTGCCATGTAACTTCTATTCCCAGCCCTTAAAACCTTCGACTTCTCTATGAAGCTGTGGTTCTTTTCGTTAGTTATGTTCTTCACACAGTGAACCGAGCTGTGGAGGTAGTACATGTATAGAATGTAAGCTATGTGTACATACATCTGTTTTTCTCTAATTGT